CTGTTCTTATAGTCGGATTTGAAATATTGCATCCAATCCTTAATATAATCAAATTCAACTTTCTCAAATCCAAGTTCTAAGTAGAATATGTTTTCCTCCCACCTGCATAGTCCTTCTCTGTTTGATTTTTAAATATTATCGGACGAAAAAGACTCAGTTAAATGAAAAAGCCTCAGTTTATGCCAAGTTAAATATCAGTAAATATGCCAGTATGGATTTCACATTTTTCCCCAGTGTTTCACTCACGAATCGAGTAATAAAAATACAATATATTATAATTTGGTGTATTCTTGGATGGTGCATTTTAAATTTTTTTGTAGCAGACAGTACTCTATATGTACGCACTAATAGACTATTGATCTGGCGACATACGTTTTATTACACTAAGTACGGTGCCCCTGTTTTTCTCAATATAATGCATATTTTATATTTAAACTTTTTCAGTGCAGTGTGCAGATTATACTGAGTGGCTGCTATAGCTAATACGTTTTGTAAGGCTATTAATTATTATTATTATTATTATTATTCAAAAGCCCTTCAATACTTACTGGTGATACGTATCGCCCAGATTTGTTATTATCGTGCTCAAATGGTTCCTTATATGTGGTCGAACTCACCACTGGTTATGAGACAAACCTCAAGAACAACGTAAAACGAAAGAAGGATAAATATAGAGAATTATTGAGACAGCTAGGTAAAAATTTTAACCAAGTTAAATTTATAAATCTCTCTATCAGCTCTTTAGGTATTTTTGCAGAAGAATGTTCTACATTTTTAGACATGTTAGAAAGTATTGGTCTTGACAAAAACCACCAAATGTACTGCGTTAAGAAAATGATGACTATTGCTATTAGAACTACATATTACATTTTTTGCTGCCGAAATAAAGAATGGGAAAATCCGGATTTACTAACAATTTGACTGATCTGATTGTATATATATATATATTGCATGCACTTTGTTCTGTTATTTTAGATTAGTATTGTGTGATTCAAATAGCCAACCGTAAGTTACCTTTATGAGAGAGATTTACGATTGTATATGTATGTAAAGAAAAATTTAATAAAGTTTTCATTATTATTATTATTATTATTATTATTATTATTATTATTATTATTATTATTATTATTATTATTATTATTATTATTATTATACAATATTAGATACTCCCTATTGGGCTTTTCAGGATCTAATTACAAATATGAAATTCTATATCTAAAATATCTAAAAACTAATTTTGAGTTTTGACCTAAGGTATATAGGCTATAGTTCAAAAAGATTCTATAAATCTGTTAAACATCACTTTCAGTTAATAAATTACGTTGTTTATATTCTACTTTAAAATGAGTCAAACTATCAATATTTTTAAGAGACTGAGGCAGAGAATTCCACAAGGACACAGCCCTATAATGAAATGTTCGTTGACCCACAGCTGATCTGTACATTGGAATATCCAAAATGTTCTTTTGCCTTGTATTAACGTCATGAACATCTGACCAGACATGAAACTTCTCACACAAATACGTTGGTGCCAACCCCATCAAGCATTTGAAAGCAAAAATGGCTTCTCTTAATTTTAACATATATTTGACTGGAAGCCAGCCCAGTTGTTGCAGAACAGAAGTCACGTGATCATATTTTCTTGTTCCGGTAACAATATGTGGAGCAAAGTTCTGGACCGCTTGAAGTTTCTCAATATATCTTTGGGATGTATTAGACCAGACAGCAGAGCAGTAATACATTTTACTAAAAATCAGGGAGTTTATAATAAGAATTAATGTTGTTTACCAGGATTGTTTATCTATTGTTGACTGACGTAATGACGTAATATCTTGTAGTCCATTAAGCAGGTTTTCCACTTCGCCCGTATCATACCGAAACGTACTAGAGAGCATGCGCAGATTGAAAAGAGGTTTATAAATCCACGTACTTCCGGGTGTATTCGCGTATCAAAATGAAAAGTTTGTCGCAAGTCAACTTTTTGGCGTACTACGGAAATACTAACCAATCAACATTCACGAAATTTTGAAATTTAAAAACGTCTTTGATATGTTTCGGTACGGTACGCTTGAAGTGGAAAACCGGCTTAACAATAGTGTAAAGCAACTTTGTACTAAAAACTGCACAGCACTGTTCTCACTCATTTTTAACTTGTAACCTTGACAGGTGTGGGTTTGTCTCATGTTTATGTATCAGTCCACTCCAGACAAACTTTAATCGTCTGATCCACATCCAAAACTAAACCTAATTAACTCAGTACTTGGTCAATTTTGTGATCATTAAAAACCGTTATAGTTACAAAATTTCACTTCCAACTTGCAATATTGCAATTTGCTTCTCCATCCCACATGTACGCAGTGTGCATCTATTTTTTGCTCATTTAAATACATTGCCCACTTGAAATTTTGCTACTTCCTATACAGACCACTGCTCAATATTTGAGCAGTGGTCTGTATAGGAAGTAGCAAAATTTCAAGTGGGATGCAGGACTAAGACTATAAGTAAATCATTTGAAGCTGGAAAAGAAATTTAATGGTGGGAAGCAACATTGGCATTAAGCATGGCAGGCTAATAGGATTTTCAGGAAAATTGGTTAGATGATGATGGTGTTGTCATAGTGAAATGATATAAGAACGCATGGTAATGTTTGGTAATGATATAAATTATAGTGGTTTCAATTAACAATAATTATAGGGATGTTATTTAACACAAATAAAGCATTTTCCTGTTGATATAACTGTATATCAATACCGAAAAAATGTGTTTTATAATATAGCACAAAGAAATACAAAGAAAGAAATTTTCCGACGTTTCCGTGTTGACATTAGACAGATTTAGATCGAGAACGCGGACGTCAAAGATGACGTTAAAATAGCGTGTTGTGCCCATGTATGGATATGCCACGCCATTTTGACGCCATTTTCACGTCGTCTTTGACGTCCGCGTCCTCGATCTAAATCTGTCTACTGAGTTATATCAACACGGCTCTTAGCCAATCAGAGTTCAGAATTTACAAATGCTATATTATAATAACTATTATAACACCCATCATTTTTTTTTAATGAAAATAATAATAAGTAAGTGTAACATTGCAAAGTAATTAAGACACAATCCTAAATTCACTTGATGACACATACTGTATCTATATTTATGCAATTTATAAAATAATAAGTAGTGATACTAACATTTCACCCAGATGGTTAGGCAGTTGTCCATTTCTTATTATTTCTACCCGTACATTTAAATTTCGAGCTCTTCTATATTTAATAAGAAAATAATACCACATCTGTAATCGACATGTATGTTGATTAAGCATTTGACTAAATCATGGGCATTCGGTTAGGTTTAGTATTAGGGTTTTGTTAAGACTTTACAAATTTATTGACATCATGCAGCCTCAACAAACACCTGTGAGTTAGTCAACCCTGTTGATTATCAGGGGCACTGGACGAAGCACCTGTAGGGAGGTGGGATAGCTACATACTCTGCAAAGTGTACTTCACATGACATAATGACATCAATTCTAAGACATTAGGGGCATGCACATGTTGGTTGCATTTCACCCACACACTAGGAGTAAATTTCTTGCATGATGATTTTTCGGATAAATATTGCTTTGACTCACTGGCATGAGAACCAGGTAGAAAAGATGGTATTTGAAATACAGTACCGTTTACGGGAAAGTTAACAGTCCCGTGCGGGACTGGATTCCCGTCCCTCGGGATGGGATTCCCGTCCCGCGGGACGGAAATCCCGTCATGTGGGACGGAAATCTCATCCCGCGGGATGGGATTTCGTTGCGTGGAACGGGAAAGCCGAAATTTTATACACTTACAGTAGAAGATTTGTTTCGACAGTATGCTGCACATCTTTAATTAATGAAAAATGTTCAAAAGCTGAAACCGTTTTTATATCATTTTTTCGGGATTTTTGGAGATTTGAAATGGATTTTCCGTTATTTGGATGTTTAGAGACTTTTTTTCCTTTTGGGACTTAGTTAACAGTTTTCACAAAATCTACGAGGATTTTTAGAGTATTTCACCCCTAAATACAAAGCAAAGGCGTATTGCTCAACTCGCACCGCAATTTACACAAGCGGACATAGACTATATAACTATGATATAACACAACGAAAAACATATATAACTGAAATTGTGACTCAGTCTGTAGAGATAAAAATAGCAATTGGATTCAAAATATTATATACTTTATATAGCTATAGTTATAGAGATTTGACAGCGCAATTAATTTCAGAAGACAATAACCGATCAAGACAAAATGCCCACTGTCTTTAGTATGCGCGTGTCTTCTCAATAGACAATGCCGAAAACCGATTCTGATGTTCTGTGTTTTGACAAACAACGTGAGTCATCGACCCCAAAATAATTCCGAACGCGCTAATAAAAGCCGATAGGCGATACAAGGTCGCAAGCTTTTCATTCAGCCTGTCTATTCTGTCCTGCAAACACTTCACTGCTCTGTCTAAGTGTGTTCACAACGTAAGAAAAATAGTCTCAAAATGCTTCGTAAACTGACTAAAGAGTCTAAAGTGTCAAAGTATGCGGTTGCATATAGCGTTTCACGAATAGCGACAAAAGATGTTGTTATGGTCGAAGGTGGCGGAGAAATTAAACGAAAATCTAAAGTTTTTGTTATGTTGAAGCGTGAAAGGTTTTTTAATCTATATTTTATAAACTTTCTGCAGGTAAGTATATATATTCAGAAACCACTTTGGATTAATATAGCTACTGAAGACCTTGGTTAATTGTCATATTTCTCAACGTTTTATTTTAAATCCGGATTTTAATATTCGCGGGACGGGAATCCCGTCCCGCGGGACGGGATTGTTAACTTTCCCGTGATCGGTACTGTAGATCAATCTTTTCAGTAATTTCAACTCTTGAGTTCAATTGTGCATGCTTCATTTGCCTATTATATAGCTTGTTACAAACTCATCAGACCATATTCTTTTGTATTTTGTCGGTTTTTAACTCCTCCATAATAACCTTCAATCTAAAAGCAGGCGGTGATATTTGATTTCTCCGGGGGAAATGTGGGATTGAAGGTTATTACGGAAGAATAAAGACCGGGTACCAGGTTATTACTTTTTCGCAATAACTTGGTAACCGGTTATTACTTTTTCGTAATAACCTGGTACCCGGTTATTACGAAAAAATAATAACCGGTTACCCGGTTTTACATTTTCAATTCAAGACCTGGCATGAGGCTTGAATTCGGGACTTGAATTTGCATGAAAACTCAATCCCCACATCTCCTTTTCGACTAGAAAACGCTGCACGTCTCTAAGTCGAGAAAGAGACAACAGCCGTGTACCTCCTTTTCCGTGTACATGATACACTGTTCTGTTTCCAATGCATTTCGCACGTAATTCTTAAAATACATAAGACTGTTAGACTTTCCAACACTGATTAAGTAACGCAGAAGGTCTCGTGTTCTTGTTTGCGGGAAACAACCCAGCAACATATTCCGTTCTGAAAGACCAAGGACCGATGCATCAATTCGATTGCACAATTTCAAAATGAACATCCACATCTCCTTTACCATTGGACAGTGAATCAACGTGTGTTCGAACGTTTGCACTCTTTCGCCACACCGTGCACATGCTGAGGATATTCGTGAATACCATTTATTCACTCTGAAATTGACAGGTAAAACCCGATGTACCGTGCGCCAATCAAAATCACGTAACAGTGGATCGTTAAAACTTCGAGCGACATCCTTCCAAATCTCTTTCCAGATTAAACCAGGACCAAATATTTGATTCCAAGCCAACTCGCTTCTTGCTTGTACCGGGGTAACGCAATCTTCAATACGTTTTAAGTAACACATTTTGCTCGTGCAAGGTTGACCCAAATCAACAACAAATTCTCTCAGAACACGAAGAAGATGACTATAAAACGGAGTTGGAATGTCACTATTTGGTCTCGAGTTATCTTTTATGCCTAAAGCCCGTCCGATGGTAATAACGCATGAAATCTTTCCAAGGTGCCTTATTCTCTTCAAGAAATCGGAAGACACGACCAATCAACAATGCTTTGCTTTTGATGTCAAGATTAATAATTCGCAGACCCCCATTCATATAGTCCGACATACAGGTTTCCCGAAGCACCCACTCCGGTTTCTTTGGCCAAACGAATTTCCAAATTTCCGATTGTAGCGAGTCAATACATTCACGCGTTAGCGGGTATATCTTTACCACAAGCCAAAGCGTCGAAGCCACCAATCTCCCGATCACCGTCATTTTCCCTCGTAACGTCAGATACCGTGGTTCCCATTTCTTCAATATTCCCTTGAATTTGACCGTAATCTCTTCCCATAATTGGATCTTTGCATTTTCAGAACCAAAGTAAATACCAACAATTTTTAGGCTGGTGTTAACCCAGGTTAGACCACAGGGTGAATCAGTACGAGAACGCCACCTACCCGAGCCAAAGACCCTTTGATTTCGTTGTATTAAGCCTCGCTCCCGATACTCGACCATATTCATTAAAGACATCAATGACTTTAACAAGACCATATGAATTAGTAACAATGCAGGTGTTGTCATCAGCATATTGTGATATTTCCACTTCCGTCCCTCCAGGCACTTTTCTGGGCACTTTCACTCCTTGTATTTCTGGGCACTTTCGAATCGCTTGTCCAAACACTTCTGCCACCATGACAAACAACAATGGAGACAGCGGGCACCCTTGTCGTACACCTCGTTGCACGTTTAAAAACTCAGAAACATAACCATTGGATATTATAGCACTCCGAATGTCACGATAAATACTTTTTAATGTAGGATCAAAATTGTGAACCAAAGTTCATAGTTCCTAAAATTCTGTCTAAAAAGTCCCCAGTCAACATAATCAAACGCTTTTTCTTGATCGATCCATATAAAGACACAGGGCGCATTATCTTCGCTCGAACGGACAAAGGCGCATTATCTTAACTCGAACGCCCAGGGACAGAACAGGATTGATCCGGGTGAATTATCGTGGGCATAACAGGTTTCATGGGCGTACCGGAAGGAAAAATTTAGGGGGGCGGAAAGAAATTTGCCCGACTTTTCTGGATTTTGCCCGACAAGTACCGAAATTTTTTTTTTCCGGAATTTATATTGCCCCCCGTCGCCAGAAAAATTTCGGTCTGTGTACCATTTTAGGGGTCAAAAATTTTTTCCGGATATACCAAAATTTTCCGGAACCTAACAAAACTTTTGGAAACATCACAAAATTGACCACTAAATTTACAACAAACTGGGGGGGCTGACGCCACCCCGCCCGGTACGCCCATGACAGGTTTAACATGATTTACCAGAACTTTCGTAATAATCTTGTAATCTGTATTGAAGAGCGAGATTGGGCGCCAATTTTTCAATAATTCAGGATCTTCTTTCTTAAACAACAGTGATATTAATGCCTGGCGCATAGACTCAGGCATCAGTTTCAACTGAAAAGCAATAATTTGCCATTTGAACAAAGTCTTCTTTAAGCAGGTCCCAAAAGGTAAGGTAAAATTCTTTTGGTAAACCGTCTGAACCCGGTGTTTTACCATATGCCATGGACTTTACAGCAACCAAACATTCATCCTCCGTTATCTGTTCCTCGCATGAATCACGTTGCTCATCTGTTAGTTTCCTGTCAAGCAAGTTTAAAAATCGATCTTGGGCAACTTTGTCTGTCGGCACTTTCGAATAAAGTTCCTTATAGAATCGAACCTGTTCCTTTGAGATATCATCCTGCTCAGTCACTCTTCGCCCATCACTCGTGCGTAGAGCATTACACGTTTTCGTAACCGCTCTTCTTTTCTCCTTTTGGAAGAAAAAGCGCGATGGCTGTTCGTTTGATTCGAGCCATTTTGCCCCACTTCGGATCTTGTTTCCTTGGATACGCTTTAAATCCATAGTTTCCAATTGGGACTTAACTAGGTCTAGTTCTTTAACTTCATCCTCCGATGAGTTTGTTTTACACACAATACGACGATATCGATTAAGTACGGTCGCACGTTCTTGCTTTCGCTTTCGAGATTCTTTTTGACTATACTTGAGAAGAAGAGATTTAACTCTTAACTTGCCAGAGTCCCACCATTCAGATACATTACCAAAATCACGTTTCCGATCGTTCCAATGGTCCCAAAATGAAGCAATTTGCTCACGAACTTCTTGCACTTTTAATAATGAGACATTTAACTTCCACACACCGGGACCACATTACGACTAGTTTTGTCTACCGTTAACAAGGCGCGAACAAGATCATGATCAGAATATGGATATATCATTATGTCTGTTTCGACGTCATAATCCTTTGCAAGTGATGAAGAAAAATAAAATCTGACCAAACGACATTTAATGCTACCACGTTTGGTTTGCCACGTAAATTGACGATCAGTTGGGTGCTGTTTACGCTAAATGTCAACTGAACGCCCTCGTCAGGAATGGAAACGTCCTCTTCTGCTTTTCTTTTGTTGTTCTCGACTGTTTGGACAGATCCTTGTTCTGTTGGGTGATGTTGGCTGGCATCGTTGTATATCCCGTTCATAACTTCGTCTCTGATGCCGCCTGGATCCTTGCAACTTGTCGATTCCACACGGTCCATATCTTCATCACTCGACCGGGAGACGTCGCTACCGTCTTCATCACGACCGATATCGTTACTGAAATTACTTTCCGACGTTTCATCATCTCTGTCATTGGACACGTCACGTCGATTCTCTAGACAATCTGCCCTGACGTGCCCAAACTGGCCACATAGAAAACACTTGAAGCATTGACGCTGTATATAACCATTTTGACCACACTTGAAACACTTTACATCATTCGAACACGTGGCAACACGATGCCATATTCGCCACATCTGCCACATAAAGGCACTTGCCCACGATATCTAGTTTCTATCGGACAAGGGCCGAGCATGTGGTAACGGTACAGCTCCTTGACTTAAATTCTGCGAACCAACAATATCTGCCCATGATCTTCCAACTGTTTGCACTTGTTCCCCCGCTCTTTCAATCACAATTTCCTGGCTCCGTTCGCCACCCTCAGCTGCGCTTTCGTCACCGCCAGGGCTTCGCTCTTCGCCGCCAGGTCCTCCTTCTTCGTCTCCAACCTTCCTTACTTCGTCACCAACTCTTCCTTCTTCCTCACCAACTTCTATATCCATTCTCGTTCTTCTGCACCAATTCTTCGTCCGTCCACAGAATAGGAAGTTATACCAGAAGCGTAACTCGAGCAAATATTTGTCCGCGTTTTTCAAGCGATTCGTCATCAATCACGCCATCCTGGCAAGTACAACCGGCACTTTGTACCGACCAAATCCTGATAAAAACTTCCGGCTGTACTAGCCAGGATGGCGTGGCCTGACGTGAGCGAGTTAAAAATTTTCGTGGACGTCAAACAATAAGGGAAACGACTAGAGTTACGCTTCTGGTATAACTTCCTATTCTGTGGTCCGTCCATTATTTAAATGTAGAATATATGTAACTCGGCGCACAAGGACTAGCTGGATCAGCTATCAAGCTTGCTTGTGCAGGGAATTTATACAGTAATATCTGCTCTTTCGCTTGTGGGACGTGAAATGATATACTGCGCATGCTTAACCACATTTTAAAGCGTGACACCTTATTTCGTCCCACAACCGTAACCTCTCATTGAATTG